CAGTATAATTTTATAAAGGGAGCTTGAACTAAATCTGAACCTGAAAATTAATTCAGATTTTGCTATCAAAAACACCAGGGTAGACAACTCTGCCTGTGGAGGAGCTGATGCTGAGTTTTCCAATACACTATTTTTCAGGCAAACCTTGGATTTTTCAAGTTCTTACCAACCTTTGAAATTTTAAAGATTCACTGTCATCAGGCAGTCCTTGCCTAGCACGTTCTGAATCTTTATTCTTTCTAAACTTCCACTAAATTAGCATTCTTTCTCCTTTAACATGCAAATTTGTATCCCTGATGTTCTTCTCATCTTGTAAGACATGAAGATTTCTCTTTAAAAAATACCCTAAACCACCTTGCAACATCTGTGTTGTCACACTGATTTCCTGGGCAACAATCAGATTCTTGTGGCTGAGTGAAACACTTGGCATTTAGCCTTTTTCTTCTTCCCTCTGAGAAACTAGGTTATTATAGCTTCATAAAGCAATGCCTGGATGGTATGACTAGCTAATTAATGTCTATTTAGTGGAAAGGGGTGCAGCCATCTTCCAGCACCTACAGGCATTTTTTTTCTTCCTCTCCCTAACAAGACCAGATGGCATCCTGGCCAACCTTCGCCCACCCTTCATAAGCCATGCACTTGATTCAGAAAATGCAGCCAGCAGCTTGGGAAACACATTACCATCACAGCTGGACAGATGCTAGAAAAGAGCTGGTTACTGCCCCGGATGGTGGGAAAATTAATTACTTCAATTAAAAGATGTAGATTAAACCTCTACCAAGATATAGTCACCTTTTCATCTCTGTATGCTGATGGGGTTTTTATTTTATCGAATTTTCCAGCTCTCATTATATAACAGGGTGACAACGAAGAAGATAAATATATGGCCAACAACAAACACACAGCAGGCTGTAAGGTCTTCTGCATCTCACTGTACTATTTAATCATAGGATGAAACCACTCATTTACAAAGGAAGGGTCCAATTTCCTGTATGAGTGCAGTCAGACCAGAATATTTATCTTTTTTCAAGATCAAACACCTCTAGTCCAAGTAAATTGTCTTCCCAATGTGTTTTTGTTTTTTTTAAACAGTGTTCATGCTAATTGATGTTTCTATTAAACTACAATCTACCCCAGCTCATGGCTACTGCATCAAGACACTGTTTCATGTTCTGTCCAACCCATCACAGATCAAAGATCTATCAAATAAGGAACAAAACATGAAATACTATTAACCAACCTCTACCTGAAAATAACATTAATTCAGTTAACTGAAAACAAAAACATCATTTTTCTCTCAGAAAGATCCCTGCCTCAAAACCATTATATTCATACTATGCTTTAACCAAACAAGCTTGTGATCAAAAGCAACACCTAACATTACAATTATTTTTAGATCAGGTATTCTGCTCTCTGTTTTCATTTATTGAAATAATATAAGGGATCATTCAACTTCAGATTTTAAGCTACATTCCTCACTTATCAGAAACACTTACTTTATCTTAAAGAAGTTTTATATAAATGTGAGTATATGTGAGTGTGTGTGTATATATATATATATATATATATATATATATGCAATTACAGACTTCTATATGAGTATATATAATGATGACAGATACACTCTAAGCATTCTGAAGCTATATTATGACCAGCTGTTGTCATAACCTGTTTAGGAGAAAAAATGACCAGAAAGCACTCCCAGTATGTCATCTATGACCCTTTCTCTCACACCAAGTCCCCTGTCATTTGCCCTAGGCTATAGGATAACACATTTTGAGCTGTACAATATTTCTGACTAGATAAACACGTTGGATGCTGATGACTCTTAGAAGATGCATGAGAACTCTGTGTACAGGAAGAATTGACTGCTCTGTTCTCTGTCATATTCCTGTTTAGGAATTTTGCTGAAATCCTTTTCTCAAGTTTTAATTGAAAAATAATTTCTGAAGTGACAAATCTCTGCAAAGAACCCGTGAGAAACTTCAGCTGCCAAAATATAATAATGCTTTCTAAAGTACTAATATTTTTCTTTCAAGTGCTATGTTAAAGATTTTTTTTTTGATTGCTAAGTCAAACAACCAGAAGCTCATCATACTGCAACCCTGTTGCACTCAAATGTTATGAAAACTTTTAGTCACATTGCCACTTTCTAGTTTCTTCTACTGGACTCTTGCCTCAGAGTTTAACTCAAAACCTTCTTGATATCCTCCTGTATATGCACTACACCGCCTCAAGATTTATTTCTTCCACACTGCCAAAACTGTGCACAGCATGCAAAATGATTCATGTCCTGCTAAGCATCTCTGACAGAGTCTCCCCATAGTATCCAGGTTCCTCAAGACCATGAAATTTACCCTCACTGTGCCCCTTTAAGGTGAGGGTGCACTATTATCAGTATTCTGCAGCTGGGAAAGCAGGCACAAACTTTCTATTCATTTTAGTCATACAACCTGAGGCAACAGAAATCCTATTTCTCAGTTTCCAGCCCTCCACACTCTTTCAAAATCTCCTTGTAGTGGTCCCCCAGTAACCAAACCTACTTCACAGTGGACATGCACAGAATGAGGAGCCCATGGTTAACTGGCCACTTGAGAAAAGTTGTTGTAAATCCTCACCTTTCAGAAATTCTGTCACAGATACTGAAAAGAGAAGCCAGTCCCACAGGGCATCATTCAGCTGTCTAAAATTTAATGATACCTTGCTGCCTCCACTGAGGTCCCCTGACTCGTTTACCATACACCTTCCACCTTGGTAGCAAGTGAAGCAGCGTCTAAACATATTTCAGAGCTTGCCCACCTTTGTAATAACCTGATTAAAGTCAGAATTCTGTATTCTGGAGAGAAACAGACAGAGACCCTTCCCCCATGCCCCTAGCCTGTCTCGCTCATCTCTTACCTATCTGTACCCCATGCCCTCCTCCTTTTCCCATTTTTACTCCCCAGACACCTGGTTATCCTCTGTGTCCAGAACAGCTCCCATCCTTTAACCCTGTTCCTCAAGCCCTGCACATGCTCCCTCTGTGCTTCTACTCCTTTGGCTCTTGCAGCCTCTTTTCCTTGTTCCTTCATACACCTTCTCCTGACCACCTCCATCTTAACATGACTGATGCATCCCTTTTCTCCTTGCTGCTGGACAACAGCTAATGAGCAGCAAAGTCCCACTTCCCTCAGCCCTGCAGGCAGGTCTGCAACCTGAATTAAGCACAGAGAAGCATAACTCCTCTGTGAGCATGTACAGACAGAAACTTTTGAAAGCAAAGCTCTTGAATCTGAGGTGTCTCCAAAGTGCACAAACAACCTCATCAGCAGGGCAAATTTAGGGGTAATTTTCAAGACAGCAAAAGGCATCTCCCTGGTATTATGATGACATTTTACTAAATGTCAAGCTTCCAAAATTTCATTCCAATGAGTTTCATTCCACTACCAGCCCTAACACATCTCAGGAAAGAACCAGTGGATTTATTTATTTGAAGGAAGGTCATTTAAAGGAGCACATTTCTCACAAATCTTGTCTTAAGAAAGAACTGGCTTTTTTTTTGTTAAAGTTTTTACTAAAAGAAAAATAATCAGTCATAGACTGAGTCTTAGTATGAAAAAATTCAGCCAAAACAATTAAAGTTTAGAGAACTTGTAAAGTAAACAATTCCTCATAGTAGGCAGTGCCAGGGACACTTTACTCTGAACAATGCTACTAGCTTCCTTTGTGCTTAATAAATCCACCAAATGTAATTGTTACAGCTAAGCAAACATTTCCAGTCATGCTGATGTAAACAAAATCATTCTTCTTATCAATAAGAAATAAGTCCACGTGTTCTCACCATCTCTCCACACTGCCTAAAACCATCTAAGCATCATTTTTCTCACAGCTTTGCCAGCTTCAGATTTTGGGCCCTTCCATTCAAGTCTATGGAAAAATGAACCTAAATTCACCATTTTTCACTTTTCAAAGAATATCAAGAACTAATCCAGAATTCCTCAGGGAGAAAACCAGGCAATTTTCTCCTGGCAGTGCTACCTTGATCACCCTTTCTTGCCGTGACATCTCCTCCTGACAGCAGTTTCCAGCTAGCTGGAAAGTTTCCAGTTGGTAGTCACATGGCTACACAGCCTGCCATCCCCACTGCAGCTGTGCCAGAGCTGTAGGCTCTGCCTGCCCTCTACCTTGCAGCCCTCTCCCACACACATCCTGACAGAAAAAAAAGTCTGAAAAAAGGCAACATTGTCACTAATCCTATTTTTTCTATACTATGTCTTAAAAGCTGCCCATAGGGTTGCTGATACAATAGAACTACAAACACAATTATACATAACATAATTATTGGGGAATGGGTGGAATATGATACCAAATCACAAATAACTTTCAAAGCCACAAACAGTTCTGACAGACATTTCCCATCTAATCTTTGAAAATGATCCACTGGCAGTTTTGAAAATCTAAAGTGAAATAACCAAAAAGTTGAGAACAATTTCTAACATTAAGCAGAATAAGAGGTATTTTTAAATCAATCTGAACATAGTAGATAGTACTAAGGCAAAATTTTCTTTTATGGGGAAATTATCAAAAAGAAAACCACTGTACAGCCATCCTACATGGTTCAAGATATGAAAACCTTTGCCTACACCTTTGACAGCAAGCAGCAGTTATAGAGGTTCCTGCTTTATCACATTGCATCAGAACTAACTTGAGGGTGAATGCTTTGACCTTTCACCAAACCAATTGCCAAGAAGGTTTTCTGGAACTTCAGACATCAAAAATAAGGTATTTTCTTTCAAATACTTGGATTTAGGTTTATTAAAAGGAGAGGGTGCATAAAGAACGAAACAAAGACAAGCACATAAAATAATGGACAAAGAGGAAGAACAGAAGGGAGAAGCAAAAGAGAAATAGCAAATTTCAGCATTTCGGCACAATTCATTAAGCTTAAAGGAGGCATTAGAAGTTGTCTGTGGTGACAGGGACAGTGCATCATTAAGCAGAGAAATGCAGAGGGCTCTTACTGCAGCATATGTGTCTGGCTGGCGTCCTTTTGTTTGTCAGGTACCTCGTAGTGGGGAGAAATCTTTCCAAGGCCGCTGTCACTCAGCATCCTCTTCCGAACCGCAGGGTTCCACCGCTCCGATATTCTAAGGAGAGAAGGAGGAAGAGAAAGGCATTCATACCCCTTGTATGCTCCACTTGGAAGCTGTCTTATGTTTATTGGTTCCCAGTATTTTTCAGCCCATAGCAAGTTAAAATAGATTAATTCACTATGAGTGCTGTTCCTAAAGATGAATAGAAGCATTTCTGGTCTGTCAAGAGGATGATAAGAAGCAGAGACACTTCATGATCATTCTTAGGCACAAAGGGCTTCAGGGCTCTACACAGTAGGATCTGAACTCTAACCATGCAAAGTTTGTAACTCAATCATTAGAGATTTATGGCAGGATTTAGGGTCAGGTGGTGTGAGGTGGTTAAAAGGTGTGAAGTCCACTAGTCCTGCTGTGTGTTCCAGGAAGCCCAATGGAGTAGATGTTACACTACTCTTCTGTCATTACCACAGCTGGATTTGTTCCTACCTAATACCCACCCTCCCACAACTCCTAGTCCTTCAGAAAAGGGGGCCGGCCAGAAACAGATGTCCATCTCTAATACACCTGATGAAAACCAGATTCCAGCAGCACTCACCCAGTTGCCTGCTCCACTACCAGGTCAGGCATTCCTGGTGGCGTCCCCACCTGCTGAGACATTACCATCTCTGGGTCCAGAATAAAAATCTCGTCCTGCGAAATTTCCGTCACAAAGTGCAAATGTTCCTGTAGGAGTGACACAAGCAACAAATCATGAACCTGCAGCAGCACTGGTCCTCAGAGTACCCAGCTGCCCTAGAATGAGTTGAGTGCATGTCAGGTTCCCTGAAGAATATTCAAGGGACTTTGTATTTAAGTGTGTGCTCACACATACTGACACATTAAAATCAATGCCACAGAAGTCACCAATTTATTTGTCATTCAAGCCAAACAAGATTCCCCATGAGCAAGCTACACACTCACGGCAATATTTTAAAAGCTGTTCCTAGATGACTATGCCATTCTGATGAAACCTGCAGGTCTACCCATAAAGCTGAGGTTTGCTTTTTGAAATGAGGACCAACACCTGAAGCCTCTTCTTTGATGATGGTTGACAGAATTTTTCACTTCCAGATCTCCACCAGTTTTACATTCTGTTTTCACATCTCCATTACCAAAACTCTCTTTCTCAATCCTTTATTTTGTTATTGACACTGAATGCTTATTGTCTTTCAAAAAAAACCATTGAGTGTGAGTACGCCTGTCTATGTAGTGAAATGGGTAGGAAATTTGCCACTGTTTGTGTGCTGGGACCAACACACAGTATTTAATTTTTTCTCCACAGAATCACAGGATGAAGGAGTAGGCATTAAAAATGACCATAAGTAGAGCATCAAGCATTGGAGAAATGCAGAATAAGCCCAACAGAGTCAAATTACCCAGTTTAATCTGTAGCAATATCTTCTTCACCCCTGCCTTCCCAATGTTAGATTACAACATCAAACCACTTGTTTGACTGTGTGAAAAGTCCCACGGTGTCTACATGCAGACACTGAACAGGGGAACACTGAACTAAAGTCACAGCTCCTTCTGCTTGAGCTAAAGCACCAGCTGCTTTTGCTAAGAAACAGTAACATGTTCATGTGATTCAGAAACAGCTTACACAGCTCTCAGGGGGACCAGATACAAACAACCACAGTGTGAAATCAACAATTTGCACTTAATGCTGAGCAACTAATTGGCCTGTTCTGGCTACAAATCAGAAACACCAAAAGCCCTGTAAAATTTTCAGTGTCTTTTAAAAAATGTATTCAGATTGTCAGATCTACGCCACAGGTTTGAATCCAGCAGACACACAATTTTTTTGGTGTTCCTTGTGACTATTTTGTGCATCTCTGTTCATAATTCTCAAATTGTAACAACATCTTAATTTCCATAGCTATTTCATGGCATACACATACACACACAGGATCAAGACTTCTGATGCCTAAAAGCAACATTGAAAAGATAAATACAAATACATTGGTGCCATACAGATGCCCCTAGTAAGACTTGATAAGGACAAAAAATTGCAGAAAATTCTGATCTCTACCAGATTGGTAGTAAACAGAATGGTCAGCAGATACAAGACTTCAGTGAAACAACATGAATTAGATCAACTAAAAAACAGCCCAGATTTTTTTTTCTCCAATTGTAATGAGACATCATGAGCAACCTTTTGCAACAGACAGGAAGAATGGCAGATAATTCATTTTAAGCTGCATCTGATGTTAGCTTTAAAAAATAAATTTATAGAAATAAAAAACAAATAAGGATTTACCTGAGATCTGTCAATGCGGTAAAAACGATCAGCAGAAGTTGCTGCAAGACAGAGAAACAACAGCAGAAAATAGTCTGAGCAGGACTGCATGGACAAGCTGGGCTGCACTAACATCACTGGGTCCTAAAACAACCCCTGTGTCAGGGAAGTCACAGTGGCTCCACAAGAACATAAGTTAATTCCTATATGAGTGGGGTATCTTGGGTCAGTACTGTGACCAGCGTCTTTGTCAATGGCACAGAGAATGGAATCGATCATGCCCTCAGCAAGTTCCCTGCTCACACCAGCCTTGGTGGGGCAGTGAACATGCTGGAGGAAAGGGACACCAGCCAGGGGGACCGTGGCATGCTTGAGAGGTGGGCCAGTGTAAACCTCATGGAGTTCAACAAAGTGCAAGGTCCTACACAGGAGCCATGGCAGTCCCAGCACACCTACAGGCTGGGTGGAGAAATGATTGAGAGCAGCCCTGCAAAGGATTTGTGGGTGATGGCTGCTGAAAAACTCAGCATGAGCCAGCTGGGTGAGCTTTTAGCCCAGAAAGCCAGCCATGTCCTGGGTATCAGTAAAATGGAAAGTGGCTAGCAGGTCAAGGGAAGGGATTCTCTGCCTCCACCCTGCTCATGTGAGACTCTGCCTAGAGCGCTGTAGTTCTGCTGCCCCCAGCACAAGGACCTGGAACTGCCAGAGCAAGTCCAGAGGAGAGCTGTGAAGTTGATATGGGGACTGGAGCACCTCCCTTACAAAGACGGGCTGAGAAATCTGGGGCTATTCAGCCCGGAGAAGAGAAGGTTGCATGGAGACTCCAAAGCAACCTTCCAGCATCTGAAGAGGTCTACAGGGAGGCTGAAGACAGACTCTTCATCTGAACTCTGGTGACAGGACAAGGAGTAAGGGTACAAACTGAAAAAAAAAGGGGGAAATTCAGGCTGGATATTAGGAAGAAATAACTGTGAGAGTGGTGAGATGGTGGAACAGGTTGCCCAGGGAACTTGTGAATGCCCTAACCCTGGCAGTGCTCAAGGTCAGGCTGGGCAAGGCCTTGAGCAGCCTGGTCTAGTGAGAAGTGTCCCTGCCCATGGCAGGGCGGTTGAGCCTAGATGATCTTTAGGCTCCCTTCCAACTCTTAACATTCTAAGATTCTACATTCATATCCCATTAAATGCTGAATTTAAAGAAAAGGCTTAATGAAACAGCAGTCACGAAAATATTAACTTAAAATAAATATTTTTAAAATGTATAAAATGGATTTCAGTCTTATAAGAATTGATTACATTAAAATATGTGACAGAAAAAGCTGCTTTGTTCCGATGAGAGTATAGCGTGTATATATATATATTGAATTTGATGGGTCTAATGGGATTAATTCAAATTCTGAATCTAAAGAAGAATAATATGCTTAGGAGCGAATTGACTACATTAAAATATGTGACAGAAAAGTTGTTTTGTTCCGATGAGAGTATAACAAGTATATATATATATATATATATATATATATATATACACTGAATTTGATGGGTCTAATGGGATTAATTCAAATTCTGAATCTAAAGAAGAATAATATGCTTAGGAGCTCTTTATAAATCAAATGCTCGGCCACAGATATTGACTCTGAATTACCAGTATGTTCAAGGGAAATTTATGCTACTCATGAAAAACACATGAAAATAGGGGGATTCACTAAATGAAGCACATATTATGAAACTTGTCATTGCCAAATAATTTATATTACTAACCTCAAAAGTATTTATCATTTACAATGTGCTTCACCAGATGCGATTTTTTTTTTGTATCTGCTTTGCATTTATTTGGGTGAGTGAAATCAGGTTCATTCACTCTGCAGTTACGACACAAGAGCACAGTGATGTAGCATTGTAGGTTTTGGCACTTCACAGGAATATCAAATACTAAAGACAAAAACTGAACACACCTACCCATCCAGCTTTCTCCAAAAACCAAACAGATTCTCACTATGGCTTTTATCAATGTCCCTCATGAGAGACAAGGAACAGTGATTAGAAATTGCCAAGGAAAATTTGGTTTTGTTTTGAGCATTAAAAATTTAAGCCTCCCATGTTGAAGCTTTTATAAAAGCAGATGCCATCCATTTCAGCTGCTAATTCCAGTGCTGTGGAGCCTGATGTAGGGCCCAGATAAGTCGTCTGTTTTGACAAAGCCTGGGTCAAATACAAGTGCAGCTCTCCAGCACAGAGTTACAAGGAAAGCATGGTACATTTCTGTCACCTAGACACTGCAGTGCCCAAAGACTACAACACCTGCAGAGAAAACAGGGTGAAGAACTCAGCCTTACACCCACTGCCACAACTGGCTGTACTCTGAGCTTGGGCAGTGCATGCAATAAAGTCTGCTCTTCACAGCAGAGACACTGATAAACCAAGCTTCTAACCTGCCTCAGTGGAATGCCTCTCTGTGGCATGAAAAACCTACAGGATATATTTTGATTGTTAGATGAAGGGCCTGTTTAATTTTTTCAGCTCCTTTTTTACCTGCTCAGTATAACAAGAAGGAACAGTTACCGTTCTCCAGTATTACACTCAGAACTATCCTCCACAGGCACACCAGAAGCAGGCAGCATGCTGGGCACAGCAGAAGGGAGATGCACTTACCATCTAGAAAGCACCATCTAGGAGAGAGCCTCTGAACAGAAAGCACTCTGGGGAAAGAGCTTTCCTGGTCCTGGATAGGACATGAAAATTGTGTTATTAAAGAAAACCCAGCAAACATTTCTTCTCTGATGAAAAGGACTATTTTCTAGACTGACTTTTTAATTTTGCTTTACTGACATTGCACAATGTGCAAAAGCTATATAACCCAGGAACCAAATTAAATTACTGGGGAGGAATTAAAATTTTCTTCTTAATCTGTACTTATCAAAGACTCAAACAGGCTACCCCATGTGTTTTTAGCTCTGACTGGAGTGGAAAAGGGATCAAAAGGGATCTAAGAGAGCAGAGGATGATCATGGCTACGCTTCATGCTGCCAGTGAATGGCCAGCCGGATTCCTAAACCTGATGCATATAACATTTAAACACAAACATATTTGCATAGGGCAAAACAGAGTGGCATGGATCTTTGGCACAAATTTGTATAGACACAGATTATTCTAGCATTATTCACATGTTAAGCAGTACAATCAGAACATCTGTAAATGTTGTAAATTCCGGTACATGTTGGCTCAAGATTAAACTTTAGTCCTCTTTCAGACAACAGATCACAGAGTAGTATATCAAGCCACATGGAAGGAAGAGAAAAAGTAAAAGCAACAGGAAGGATTTTACTTGATCCCATAAACCTTATTCTCATATACGGCTTATGGTATCCAGCATCTGTGCATCACAGAGATGGAGACAAGGACAGCAAAACATCCCATTTAGTGAACTCTAACTGTACATGAGGAGCAAACCACACATCTCAGGGATTTAACAGAATCAGATTTAAAATACAACTTTTTCTGATACAGGAAAACAGACTTGTGGGATTTTAGGTCTGATTGTATTGCCACTGGAGTGTTTGTCAGAAAATCAAGGATCTCTGAAACCTGCTGGGCTTGCTGGCATTGTTGTGTCTACATGCACAAAGCTTTATGTATCTTAATAATTAGTCCACCCTGTGTCGAATGGAGGGGACTGCAACACAAAGGACAAAAGGAAGAAAACTTCCAATGGTGTGTACTAAAATGCAGTTTATAAAAAGAGGAGAAATCAGTAAAATTCATAGAGTACAAAATGCTGAGAAAATGCAGGTAGGAATACTACTGGTAAATGTCAACTTGAGTCACAAATTGCACATTGTGACATACTCCCTCCAAGACTTCATTACAGTTCAACTACAGACCTAGCTTGCAAAGTTTCAGGCCCATGAGAATGATATTTTGTGAGTCTTAAACTCATTAGAGAAACAAAACAGAATGAGAAAACACTCCAGTAAATTTTTTTCTCATTTGCACCTTGGTTTGCTAATAATTCTGCTGACTGCCTATGTTTTGAACTGCAAAGGAATCACACAAGAGAATTTCATTTATGAGATTTAAAAGTACCCATGACACTTTATTAGTGAGGTCTAAAGACAGTTCAATCAGCTGAAGCACCTTATTCATGCCCTTTATCCCCCTCTTTTTCCCATTTCTGTAATATGTAGAGGGATACCAACAAATACAGAATAAACCTCAAATTAACCTAATGAGACAATTTGCAGAAACGAACCACTGTGGAAAAAAAAATATTACTAGACAAACAAGTACCGAATACAAAACACAGAGAGGGTGCATTTAAAATGTAGAATCATAAAAAATGAATGGTATGTTAGGGATTTCACACTGCTGTGCACTAGAGAAAATGGGTAGGCAACTAATTTATATACTGCTGTAACTGCAGAGGTTAGAGCCAAGCATGGAGCTGATTTCTGACATTTCATACTCTCTTGTACATCTCCCCATATACACAGATTTTGTTCGTCATTTTACCTCAGGCAGTTTTCTACACATGGAGCAGTCAGCAGTCACTTAGGTTAATTCATTATGAGTGGAACAGAATCATACATGCTGGTTTATTAGTCAATTTGCTAGACACTAACACTGTTCCAAAACCTAGTTCCAGGGCGATGATTGATGGAAATGTCAAGAATATGAAGTTAGCATTGGGCAGGGAAACAAAGAAAAAACCATCAACTGATATAAAGAAGGCAAGTCCAGCAAAACATGCCAAATTGCATTTGCTTATAGTGTCTACAGTCAGAGCATCTACAGGCATTCTCATGAAACTGGAATTCTGCATCCCTCAAGTAATCATTATCTCCAAAGAAATTATCTGCAATTTTACCACAATTGCTTCCTGTAGGCTGGCTCTCTATATGCTTCTCAGTGAACTCATTCCTGCTGATGCAACAAGACTTGCATTGTTATTTCTAGAAAGATGCTATCAGCACCATGCAAACTTGTCCTGTGATCCTAAGCACTATGGCAACTTACCATGGTCTGTGCCAAATCTCCATGCTAACATCAGATAATTTCAGGAGTCAGTAGAGTTAGTCTCACACAGTTTACTTCCAATTTAAGCACTCTACAATGAATTATTTTACTGAGAGAAATATGCATTCTTGAATGATACTTCCAACTGAAAATACAAGTTCTGTATTGCATAAATTGTAGAATAAAGTTGCAAAACACAAAGAGACCAATTTTAAGAACTATCCACCTAAACTAAAACATATTTATCTCATGCAGAAAACACACATGTGCTTAGGATGGACTAAAAAATTACCCTGAGGATTATGTAAATTCGAGGTAGATGGCTGTCCTGTACAGAATTATTAAGAGGCCGGGCTTGCTAAAACACCTTCCCCCCCACCCCTCCCCAGGGATAGACTTTGCTACAATAGCTATGCAATACAACATGTCATTGTTCAGTTTCTCAGACAGAGAAACAATTTTGTCATTTGTCCTACAGAACACATTTTCTCATTCACTTCAATATGGAAAATACTGCTATTGCAATATCACAACCATCATCAAGCTTTGCTAATTTTAAAGGTGATTCCATAGAACTTGCCCAAGAGAAAGCAGAACTTGCTTCCAATATTTAAGGGTAAATTAGATAATCAGATAATTAGAAATTCATCTAACATATGGCTTCCAATGCAAAGAGTGTCACTCCCATTTTTAAGTCTCTTTCTGTTCTGATACTAAAAGGAAAGCTTCTCTTACCTGGTAATGAACTCTTTGTGTAGTAGAGGTTACTGACTGTAGGTCCTAGGAGGAAAATGAAAGACATTACAATGATGAAAAAGATTACAGCAACAAGAGCTGTATGTAGTTCTACTATCTGAAGTGGTTGGGCAAACACAAATCATTTTGCAAGTATTTTTCACTGGTTTTAAGCATTTGAAACAAACTCCACAGAAAAATCAAGGAAAGCTCACTCAAAGTTTAGATTTGTATGTATTTGGCCAAAAAATAGTTTCAAAAAAAGGAGATTGCACTAATGTATCTTATCATATTAAGAAATCTATTTATTCCAAGAGAACTGTCTAAATTTACAATGTCAGCAACAAAATTAATGAAAATATGTCAAAAATCTTTAAGACACTTTTGCAAATATTTCAGAGTGATTAATGCACTTAAGAAAATCACTGACAGTTCTCTCTATTTTAAGACAACCTCACTCCAAGAAGGTCATATCAGAATGATCCTGACATTTAGCAGGGTTCAGGCATCTAATTTATTTTAATAGAGATTTTATCAAATAGTTATAGCGCATGACATAGTCTACTAAAGAGCCTGGCTGGCAGACTGTTGCCCTCCAGCAGCATGGAAATTGGCAGAGCCCAGCCAAGCTTGACATCTCTACTCCCAGCAAATGGGACTGAGCCAAATCAAGCACACATGCAAAAATTAGTACAAACCCTGCAAAAGGTTGGAGAAACACAGTTCCTCCACAACCACTATGGGTAATTCAACCAAAATATCTAGCTGTGCTTCCTTCAGGGGTTGTACCTAAAACTGCCTGAGATCACAGTGTGAGATCACATTTTTAATCTGATGAGGTCATCATCCATCATTCTTAGTATTTCACTGTAATTTTCTGAACTGGATACTTCAAATATGCACCACCTTGCAATATGGATTTATGTCTGATAATTACAGTCACACTCCAGGTCTGAATTAAATGCATTTGATAAAAGGAATCCTGGCTGAAATGCAAAGAAGTGAAAGCCTGAAGTGAGATACTAAGTTTCTTATTCAGACTGCCAGTGTGGAATTCCAAAATCTATTGGAAGTCAATGGCTCTCAAAGAGTTCAATGGAAGGGATGAGCTTCATAGTTCCTACATAAACTAGATCAACCATTTATAAATTCTTATAAATGCTTATATATAAATTGCTTATAAATGTAATGTTATCAGACTTGTAAATGTTTTTGAAAGCTATCACTAAGAGATTGAAAGTATCAGAGACAATACATTAATGAAAATCCATTCGTTTTATCACTAAAGGAGCTCACACTTAAAATTATTTGGGTAATGAGGCATTTGGAGTCTGCATTTTCCAGGGTGTATTGTAGTATGAACTCTCATGAGGCAAGGTGTTTAAGAACAAGAGCAAAACCACTTTTAGCTGTGTGAACACCCATTTCTCTGTCTTTGAAAATATCTAGTTGATATTTGCTGTGTTTAGTGGTGTCTCATACTACTCCATTATTAGAGAACGACATTTGCATAATTAGACCCACTCAAATAGCACAGTGTTTATCCTTGCATAACACATTTTCTAATCCATAATTTATGTAATTTCAACAAGGTATATGGAAAGTCCTAGTATTCCATTAAAAATCAAGGAGAAGTAAACAAACCCATCCAATTCAATTCTGTTATCATTTAAAAGGAATCAGTATGATTTTTAATTTCCTGTTTAGGGACTACTTTTCAGTACTTTTATTATCATATCTTAATTCTAGAATTTCGGTTTCAATGGTAGGCAAATTGCAATACTCTTGATACATGTTTGCTGCAGCTATTAGACCCCTGCACTAAGAACAGAAAAGCATAAAATAGGTTTGTGAATGATACCTGAATTCACAAAGGCCTCACCTCTTGTAGACGGTCAATGTACATACGACAAGTCTCCAAGTCACAATCTCCTCGTACAACTATGATCCCTAGTGGAATGGCTGAAAAAATCCAAAACAAAGAAAAACCTCTTTAACTGAAGTCTCTTGAATTGTAACAGACTTGCAATGGTTTCCAATGTTGGTTTTTTTCATATCTTCATGAAAGCTTTCTGCTATCTAAACCTTAACAGTTATGTAAAAGCAAGAGCATATTAATCATCATCAGTTTCACCCACTTATAATTATCAATATTTCATTTTCAACCACCTTTTATGGTATCATGAAAGAAGCTAAAACATACTCAGTTAAATTGAGTACTTCATTTTCAGATCTGAACATCAAATATTGTTTGTAAAACAAAGGAACATACCCCAGAATAAGAGTTATGGGGGGCACCCTTGTATCTTGAAATAAGAGTGATATTTCATTCTCAGAACTCAAAGTCTACAAGTTTAAAGCAATGGAAATCACAGCCTGATGTCAGGGAAAACTATCCAATGCCAGGTTATTTTTATCTAAGGCTGCTTTTAAACCAAAACAGATACTATTCCATCTACACACAGAATCTACATATTTCCGTATTTAGACGGGGGGGGAAAAAAAGATAACTCGTGAAAATACAGCAAAACCTTTCAGGTTAGGGCCAAATTTTTAATAACAGGAAATCAAGTTTTTCACATTCTTTCTGTTCTTGCCACCAAAGAGTCCAAAACAAAATCACAAAAAGAAAAATAAATAATAAGGAATACAATAAAAGAAAAAAAGTGAGTCCACAAGAAAGGTACCAAGAGAGCTACCTACTAAGATCTCATTAAATAAAAAGAAAGCAAGTGAAAAATCTTGAGTACCTAATTTTGTTAAAGTGAATCACTGAATTAAGTTCTTTTTTTCTCCCTGAAGGGTCTTAAATCAAATAATGGTGAAAAAATTTATGGGAGCAGCGGGAAAGATATTTAAATCCTCACATGAAATATTCCAGAAGCAGAACAGAATATCAACTCATAAACAATTTTGATAGCTGGATTACGAGCAGCAACATAAAATCATCAAGGTTTCTGAGAGAAACAGAAAACACAACTGTGCTGCAACCCTTCCTACTGTTGAAAAGAAGTTGATTAAGGGGGAGAGATGTATTTAAATACTTACAAGTTCTTCATTCTGATAAGAGAACAAGACAGTGCTAAAAGACATTGGGGAAGACAGCTCCTATTTTTCTGGTTCACCAAAGCCTGAAGCACAGAGAGGAGCTCAGTGGTTTCCAGGGAGAAGAGCTGGGGAGCACCTGCTGCAGTCAAGGTCACTGTGAACTTCAGAGGCCAGCAAAGGGCTCAGCAATGCTGCCAAAATTGGGCTTGGAAAGCAAATTGAACAGCAGAAGAGCTACAGACCCAGGAAAACAGGATGCAGGGGAAAAAATGCTGGAGTAAGAACAAGAACATAAAGAAGGAATAGGCGGGAAGGAAGAGGTCACACATCTCCTGAAACAACAGTGACACCCATAGTGATGACAGTCCCCCTGCACATTTTCAGAGAGTCCAGGTCGAAACAGTGCTCATGGAGACCTCCGAGATTCTTTCACTGCAGAACAGAGACTGAGGGACAAGCAAGTGGAAGGAGGGTCAGAAGCAGGGCTTGCTTCAAACACCCCAGTGCTCTGGGTTACAGACTGATTCTCTTTGCTTAGTGTTTATTATTACTTAACCTTTTTGGCAGAAGCCCCTTAAAGCTCCTTGCAGAGACTTCTTAATGGCTATCTAGATTCAACTGAACAGTTGAACAGATCCCTTTGCAGCCCTTACTGAGAGAAGTGTTTGTTAAATTCATTTGTAGCACTAAAAACTGAATTGTAGCAGACATGACTACACCTTCAACAGCTACAGAGCATTAGAGAGTTACAGCACTGGCTCACAGACTGTCACCACAGATTTTTTTCTCTCTTCTCTGCACTTAATGGGGACTAAAGCTTTGACCTGATAAAACAACACATGACAGAATTGAAATCCTTAACTATCACCACTCCTGACAGACCAAAAAAGGAGGACCTTAAAACATTTGTAATTCTAAAGAAATATAGCAAAATATCTAAAAAGAAAAAAACTAGCATGCAATAGATATCTTAATGGTGGTACTTTGTGAGTCTCATCTAATGATTGAAGAAGTAGTGATTTAATTAAATTATGTGATACTGGTTCTTAGTGGTCAATGAACAGTTGTGAAACTCTGGGCTGTGTGACTTTGTCCTTAAAAAGAAAAGTTATGCCTTGACTGTTTGGAAATAGTGAATTAACATGATCTATGGTATCATAAATTCCACTGATATTAAGGTGTAATGTGCAAGGTGGGTCTCAAGTGGTTCCATTCCATATGGTTTATGGCCTTTGAAAAGCTTTTAAAGTCATTACTGGATAACACTACAGTATATGCTAAAATGTTGCTTCCCAATTTTTGTTGTTGTTGTTCATTTGTTGCTTGGTTGGTTTCTTTTGCAAGACCCATTTGTCTTTCAGCAAGGAAAATGTTCACAGCCCTGATTTTTATCATAAACCACAATAAGCAATCAAAATGCACCACACAGTCAGGACTTACAGAGTGCTTCAATAGTTGCTGTTCTAAAACAAAAGCAAATGCTTAGTGATTGATAATGGGATAGAAACTCTGGGGTTGCTGCTCTTTCTACAAATAGTGCAATAGCATGCAATAGAGGCAAAATAATTTAATTTATGGTAAATCAATTAAAGGCCAAGTCAACATGCATAGCAAACAGTAACATTGTGGGCACTTTCATCCAGGACTAAAGGAGCCTCTGCATTTGCTGTGTGGATGAGGATGTGGACAGTACAAATCCCTGTGGGGCACAGGGATTACTGGATATGCCAGGAGAGAGGTGGAAGTGCAAACACATTAAGAGCACAGGCACTACAAAACAACTTTCCGTGTACCCACACACTGTACACTCCTGTGAACATATGGATAAACCCACACACGTGACTACGCCAAAAATAAGGAAGAGCCTCAGATCATGAGCCAAGCCACAGTACTCAAGTGCCAGATATTTTTCTCCTGAGGCGCCTGCTCTTCTGGCAACTTGCATCCATGTCTCAGTTCCTTTGTGCTCCATGAATGTTGAAAAAGGATTTCACCCGGGCAGCTGTGATGAGCAGCAGTGCAAGAACCCAGGAAATGAGACAGGCAGACAGCTGCTTCATAATCTGAACCAGTACTGCAGAAACGTTTTTGTTCCTAGCAACATAAACCAAAACCAAGGATCTGCAGGAGAAGGGTTGGGCAGATGCAGCAGTATGGCCAGCCTGGTGTTCTAATTAAGTGCAAGATTAGGAGTGATTTCCTAAGTCCTCATGAAATTAGCTGTGGAATTTATAAGCAACAAACAAATCTTCCACCTATTAAGTGTTCATTATGCTGAATACCTAGGGCTAGTGAACTCTTTAATAGTATTGAGGACACAAATGAAGGAAGCCCAAACATACTTACATTATTATAAAATTCAATTAACTTACCTGTTTATTGTTATGAAAGTATTCAATTTGTGATCTTAATACCATGATTAACCCACTCAAATCCCAAACAAAACAGCCTTGAGACAGAGCATTACAGTAGATGTGAATGCCAGAAAAACTCATTCTGATTCTGACACACCTCGGGGGACAGGGGAGATTAGACATTGGATTGTAAATGTTTAATGTAACAAATAAAGGATCCTCACTACTGAATATGTCATAAGAAAGCCATTTTTTTAAAGAGCTTCCACTGATATTAAGAATATGAAGGACCAAGCAAATTCATGGTGGAGAATTATAAAATATTCAGACATTTTTATTAAGAGGTTTGGCTATCACCAGTATGGTTTTAATAAAACTGAGTTTGTACAAAAGGATTTTCTTACCACACAAATCTAAGTCACGTATCTCTTCAGATCCCTTCTGCTTATTATACTGAAAAAACCCAATTCTCTCTAGGTTCATTGGCTACTAGTTTTTTTAGCCCACTTGCAAAATCCTCACATATAAGGAGATAAAACACAGTGGAGGTTATCAGATTAAACTAGACCATGTTTGAAAAGGCAGTCATCTGCTCCAAGCTCTCAGTGATTTTTCCAATATCCTGCCAAAAGGGAAGAAGCAGCCCAAGTCAAAGGAGGAGAGAACCTGTGCCAAACACCACACAACAAGGAACAGATTATAGAAAAAAAAATTGAAGAGCTGGGAATTGAAGGTGGCTGGGAATGGATATTGGGAGTAAGAGCTGGCAGCAGAGATCTGGATAAACAACAAATAAATATTTAGGGTAAAGAAAAAGAGCAGAAACCTGTGCTGTGAGGTCTGCAGAGACAGACTAGGACAGGCAGGAAGGATGTGTATGGGATGAGTTATCCAAAGGGGACAACCAGGACTAAAAATGTAAGAGGAAATCAAATCAGAAAAATGCTAACGAAACATGCAAGTTGAATATGGACAGAAGAACCTCACAGAAAAGCCAACATGAGAAAGACAAACTACAGTGTGGTTTCCTGGAAAGTTTAAAAAGGAACTTAATATTCTTGCTTCTACCCACTTCTCTAAGGTAAATATAAATTTTTATAAAGTTATGAATTTAATATAAATATAAGTCTTATAAATATAAATGCCTATCTCTTCTAGTTTAAAGAAGATGACAAACTTAACACATGACAATTTCCCACTAGCTCAAAAGACATAGGACTGCACTGAATATGCCCTGTGAGGTGTCAAGACAAGGTAGATTTAGATTAGATATTAGGAAGAAATTCTCTACAATGAGACAGGCAAGACACTGGAATGGGTAGCCCAGATAAGTGGAAGATATCCCTGTCCCTGGGAGAGTTCAAGGTCAGAGCAGCCTGCTCTAGTGGAAGAGGTCCCTGCCCACAACAGTGGGTTGGAACTAGATGATTTTTAAAAATCCCTTCTCACTTAAATCATTCTGTGATTCATAATATCATTATATGAAATTTCAATGGCTTGGCTTTACTCTTTCCCCCAACCTCAGAGAATAGCAATTTCCAATATTTAACTCACTACTGACTTCTAATCCTCTTGCTTTCACTTTGCTGGGAGGCTTTAAGCAATCCATTCAAGCCCTCTCAGTTTCAGATCTTATAAAATCACCATGATGAAGAAATACCTAAATTAGCTAGTTTGTGCACAACATATATTGACAAAACAAAGTTTTTCGAGCAAGGCACTGACTTCTAAGCAGAGTGAAGGTAATGTTGTCTTCTATGGATCTTCTACCATGTGCCCAAAGAGATCTCCTGACAAATAAATGCCCAATGGTGCATCCTTTACAGGATGAAAGAGAAGGTTTGTAGCTGCACAACCTGCCTTGTCTAAATCCATCCCGCTCAAAACTGCTTCCCAATATAAACACATTTCCTTTGTGGCTCATCAGGAAGTCTTCTGCTCCCTGCTGACTTTTATAGTACATATTCAGGCAATAAATACCAACTCCTAAGTGTTGGCCCTTTCTTACTTAGCTTGCTGTTCAAAATCACATGATCTCCAAATTAGCTTCACCTGTGATATCCCTAAGTTTTAAAGAGAGTTTATCCCTTTGATAGATCAAGGATTCCAAGTGCTTTTCTGGTATGAGGAAGCTACAGTATTACTGTACATGTACACATCACAATGACTCACAATCTTGTTACTCTGTGTACCCCACGTATCTGATAAGAACTCCTAGGATGATCCCAAAACCCTCAAGTAACCCACAGATATTAGAGGTACACACATTATAGACATTTAACTACAGATAATCAAACAGACAAGAATTCAAGGTTAAGATCCCATCATGTTACAGCATCATGCACACACACAGAGCAAGGAGGCTGCACAGAAGAGGATTGTTAAGTTACAGACAGGCCAATCATTAAAAACATGGAACTAAATATTCTCTTAACATTTCTTGAGTCTAGTGTGATATTTTGTTCCAGAGGACCTAATGAGCAGCTGCATCTGTGTAAAATAAAGTATGGGAAACCTAGAGCTGACACAGGGCTAAGAGTTATTTCTGATACTGTCATCACTGCAAATGGGTATGATTCCTCCTTAATTTTAGTGGTACTGAGGAAGTTAAGATTATTCTTCATGCGTAGGGCACACACAACAAGTTAAGGGCCGTAAGGGCTGACATACCCTATTAAAAAATCCCACAACTGTTCAGTTTCTGTTTATGGTGAATCATTTCACTGATACATTTTTATGATGCATATCTGAAATGGTGTTGCTAGGAAAAACTAAGAAGCACTGAAGATCATAGGTCACTGTCTAGCTTATGTTTGGTTTGTTTGTTGCTTTTTTTTAAACATAATTACTTTCCACATATGTCTCCATTGTTAGGAAATTCTTAGTTATATTGGAAAGGAGAAAATAGGGTCTCACACACAAAGATTTTGCTGTCTTAAAAATAACTCAATTGTTCACCCACAGTGCTGCTTTGGATCACACTTTACTGCTATAACAGAAAGCCAGAGAGAGTGTACACAAGACAAGCAGGCAGTAGAGAGAAATAAATTCTGTCCACCTAGAAACATCAGTCTACCTCACTTCTTGAGTAAGATAATCTTAGTTGGGTCATTGTAATGTACAACTCTCATATTGGTCAGAGGTGGTGAAGCTTGTGACTAAGGTGACAAGTGCTTAGGACATGAATAAGGAGGTGTTAGAAAAGATAACTACTTTTGCAGTGAAGAATATTACAACATAACTAAAATGCCACCATATATCCCTTTCTTAAAATGCTGCATTGAAGCATTCATCCCTCTTCACTGAAGGATCAATAAGCACCCTCTGTACCATCATTAATCATTCCCCACACAATACTGAGTTGCTGACAGGAGAAAAGAAGGAGCAAGGGGAGAGAAGAAAGGGACAATTCAGAAACAGCATCTGGGTTAAATGCCAGCTGCATTGACAAGAAAAGTAGAAAACAGAAGGAGAATGAACTAAGGACAGTCATGCCCTTCAAAGGACAAAATGACATTCCTTAATTGTTCTGGAGGCTTTCAAAATGAAGTGTCTACCTCCAGCAGAGTGAAGATTAATCTTCATGGAACATTTTGTATCATGAGCTCCTCTATATCAGGAAGACAATCTTAGGTGAAATAGTTGATAGATTCAAATCAGTATTACAAGCAAGCAAGCATTAATGTATTCCTTGTGAGTTAAAATTATCCAGATTATTACAGTGAGATCAGAGCTTTCAAAACTGTATTATGGAGACATGTAACAGGCAAAAACCTGAATTAATTCTTTGTTATTTTTCCTTCAGGGGTAACTCCTTATTAACTGGCTTCCTTTTCCTGTTCAGATTGTTGTGAGATTCTGCTTTGTTCTCAAATTATTTAGGGAGGTCGAACTGGTTTTAATCCATCTGGATGGAAAATGGATATTAAGTATAGCATTCTGGATTCAGTTGTAGGTATTCTGCCAAAGCCTGAACAAGTATATAAACTTGGTATCCTGCAAGCATCTAGTGAGACATCCATACACACAAGAGCTACACTCTTGCTGAAAGAAATCAGCACCTCTTTAGTAACAACTCCCCAGTAAAAGAGGCATTTAAAGTTATGTAAGCAGAGCAGTAGACTTATGACCACCCGTGTATAGTAAAAATTACATGCCCTGTCACAGGACATTACTACTACAAAGGCTAAGGTGAAGTATCTTTTCTGGTCTCTTCTAGGAAAATGAGGATATTTCCTTTCTCATATTTGTACGGTAAGTAACAACAGTAATGCACAAGCATTACTGGGACACTTAAAAGAGGACTGGTAGGAAAAATCAACTCATGGAAAATATCTAGAGGGAATAGTCCAGTCCAGCTATGTTATATTATCATGATGGACATGCATTAACTTCAAAGATTCAAAAGGGTTTTATTACAAATGAACCACCAATGTCCAAAAGCAATACTTTTAACTTTTGATGAACAAATATCTGTTTTTTGAATGATAACCTCTTAAACACACTCCTACTAAGTGATCAAATCCATATGAAATAAAAAACCAGGGTGTTAGATCAGTTGATGGCATTTTTTTATAATCTTATCATTATGAATTTTGGCAGGTGACAAATAACGTAAATACACAATTACCACTGCAGTGACAACAGTGTAAGAAGTTGTATGTTTTGTGTCAGAACATGTAATGGCTCCTAAGGACAAAAAACATGCTAACTACAGACACAGAAAATTTGCATCCATACTAAGGATGGATAAGAATAGCTCTCCTCAGATGGGAAACCCTCAAATGAACAAAGTTGTTTCTGACAGTGTTGGGGAGTTGTGTGTTCAGTGTGGCCTGAAATCTACTCAATGTAAAACTCTCAATTTCAACTTGAAGCAAGTTCTCCTCCAGTGAGGAATAATCCTGATCCTGTTAAAATTCTTCTCAGTCCAGTGAAGAAGGCTTTTTTTGCTTTATATATATAATATGACCAAAATCCAGTAACTTCAGTTAAGGCTGTCAAGACCTATATTAAAATTTAAGCTATTTCAATTATTTTGGTGTAAGGAGAGATGGTAGATTGAGGAGAGGGGAGACTGGAAGAGTGAAATGGAAACAGTTTAACTATCTTCCAACAATAAGATAACCAAACCAATTCAAAGGATTGTCATCCTGTAATTACCAGAGCACTCTGTATTGCAGAGGGAACTGAAACTCTGTTGCACAACAAACACTTATGCTTGTAATTTAATATGAATAATGAGCCAGATGCGTAACAAGACTATTAAATTGTTATCACAAGCAGCCCTGTCCCTCATTGATTAATGACTCTGTGTGTCACCAAGGAAAGGAATTCCATTTTTAAGTTCAGATAGTCATCATCAATGTTGCCAAAGCAACCACTGTCTGCTTTTGACTTACCCCTAAACACAGCAATTAAACCATTACATGAGGAAACAAAACAGTGATTATTCTCTGAAATGGAAAACTGAAGGCTGGTAAAGAATAAGGGTGTGGAGAACCCAGATTTGTTCCCCAAGATAAATGAACCTGTGCAAGAACCATGTTCCAGGTCAGTACACATTCTCAATATCAAATATATTATAGTGTTCCACTCAGCTTGAAATCTGATGCTAATCATAAAATCTGGTACAGTTTCGTATACTAGAAACCCAGCAGAAACAACAGAAAGATATGAATAAAAAATACCCTGTGTGCAGAACATTACTTATTTTACAGTAAATATAATCACAGGGCAGAAAAATAGGTAAATAAGAAGGCAGGTGGAATCTGCATACATGATCTCTATAGAGGCTATTTATATAGAGAGAACATTTGTACATATGCACATAGAGATGAGCATACTCTCAATATTACTCATCCAAAAGCTTGACTCTGTGTTTGGGGGTTTTTGTTGTTATTTTTGGGGTAGGGGTTGTCTTGGTCAAAGTAAGATTTGTACAGAATGTTCTGTCAAAAGCAGCTACAATCTGGCTTCTTCCAACTTACAAGCTTCCCGGAGTTTTTCTTTGTCGTAATGTAGCCCCTCATATTCTTGTAAATTAATCCTGTTCACTCTGATCCGCAGGCGATCTGGGATGGAATGAGGACTGCAAGAAAACAAGAAAGCTTCTTAGACAAAGTGCTCCCTAGAAAAGTAAAGGAAAACAGGATATGAAGGGATTTCAATCTTCTCTGAAAGAAGAAAATGCACAAGCCTCTTCAAAAGTGATCCACATCCCCACAGGCCTATTCCTGCATTTAAAATTATGACTATCTGCTGCACAACAGCATAGATATTACACCTTAAATAATAAGCAAGATCAGAATCCTGTTTGCTGTTTGTGTGACCTGAAACTGCAAAGGTTTTTCCTGAATTTTTATACGCCCATGAAGCTACCCTGCCCTTCTCCAGTTTGACTTTGTGTAGATTCTTAGAGCCCTACCACATCCAGTACACTGATCTGCCAACTTGAATTTCAAGACACACAAAGATGTTTCTTGGGAAGTATCTCAGGACAACCTCTGCCCATGAGAGCATCTACACAACATTACTGAAGGATCCTGATCCAGCATCTCAGGTCTGAGAAACAGTCAACAAAAATGTGGCTAAGAACCAGATTTCAAAAGTTGTGAGTCTAATACTCAAAACCCAGGAGGACTTTTAAAAGCAGGAAGTAGTATGGCAACCTCACTTTTACAGAATTTATTCTGATTTAGATACCCCAACTACTGATAATTTTGAAAGGCTCAGTAGGTCAGTATCTATAAATTGAGTGTTCATATACTTAATATGAAATGTCCAGATAAATATGGATAGAAATTTGTCAAAAAAGCTTTCTTTTTCACTTCACACTAGTTTCTACCTTAATATAACTTTTATTTGTTGGGGTTTTTTTTAAGTTTAGCTAGATTGTATACAAATTAATTTAGCCACACTTGCATCTTCCACTTTTAAAGAAAGAGAGACCATCTGTGTATTATAATGCATGTAGCAAATGTCTGTCCTGTAGGAACTCAGCCCCAGATCAGTTAAAAGTAGATTACTCTTTCTGTGCTTTTACCAAAATACTGTCTATATTTTCTGTTTTAATCTTGTTAGTACCAGGACTCTGCCTACAGTAATATTATCTAATACACGCTGCCTTTTCAAAGTCATAATACTCTCATAAATATACAGCTTTGCTTCTTTCTTTTTCTCAGTTTTAAACTACCTGACTTATAGCATTTGCACTGCTAGTGAAGGACAAGGCACATCTCACAAATGTTACCTGTGTTACCTCATTTCTAAACAGAGGTTGTAATGTGAATTTTCTTCACTAATGTAATCAATTAATCAGTGGTAGGCTTATATTCTATCACAATGGGCATCGTTTCAAACTCATTATCACAATGAATAATCTGGGTATCTCATGAAAGCAGGAGAGGAAAACAGGATGACCTCATGCCAACATCTGCAAACCTTGGCTAATTTCCTCCCTTCCAACCTACCTGTTAGTGTCCAAACACCATCCCACACAGGACGCTGTTTGGACACCAAGGGGAGAGAAAGACAACACTGACTTCTGTAGATATGCTGACTCACTACCTAATGCCATGTAAGGAAGAAAAACAAACATTACTTCTTAGCTTGAAGCCGAAGGCAACCTACTGCATGTGCAGTATCACCTTCTGAGTCAAATTAGTCCTTTCACCTAAAAAGAAGTGAACAAGGTCTTTTTCTTTGCTTGAAGCTGGAGGAAGAAAAATATCTAAAATGAAGAGCAAATCTAGAATATATTTTTTCTTCCAAGAACCACACACACATGCTCCAAAATTCTCTTTTAATTAGAAATTGTTTAGGAGGACACTTCCCATGATTTTGCAAAACATATCATTTTTGATATATAGGCACACTGTATATCTCTAACTTTGCTTCTGAAGGAGCAACAAGCACACCGTCTAAAGTGTGATGTATTTTCTGAGGAGAAAATGGAGCAGATCCAGTGTAGGAGGGCCATCAACTGGCAAGTACCAGAGTTTGGTATTCTGTTCTGCCCTCCTCTCACACCATTTTTATAAAGACAGGCTAAAACCATCACATAAACAGGTTGTGTGCTAAAACCTACAACTGGAGAGAAACAGAACTTGGCCTCTTGTCCATTTAAAAAATTTAGTTATCTTACTAAAAAAAAAAAAATGTAACCTTGGAAACAGTAGCTTTCTACAGAAAATAAACTATTACCAGAAATAACAGTGCCAGGAGTTCCTTTCTACAGGGTAGAGATTGGTACACTTAGCCAGGTCCAGTCATAAGCAGCATATTCATAAAACAGGTAAACATATATTCATATATTCCTAAATATGTGTGTGTATTGACACCAACACAAAAGAGACATTTATACAGTAACTGAAGCTTGATGGTTTTGTTCATCAGTTCTTTGCAAACACCCTTTATTCTCCTATAATAGTGATTGGCTGACACATTGTGTCACTAAATTTTATTACCTATTCAAAATAAATTTTATTCTAAAATTCACTATTTGAATATTCATTTCTTGTGCTATCAGACTAGTAATTGACACCAGGGTATATTGTCTTCATCAGTCAAACTAATTAACTAATTCATTCACAGAACTCTAATGGAGCTGAGCGAAATACTTCCACTATCAACACTACTTCAGTCTTCATAGACACTGCATCATAATCCATATTATTATACAAAGAGACGAATTTGTCTTTGTTCAGACATACTCAGTATATCCAGAAACCAGAAAGATTAAATACATAAGCATGTCCATGTAAAAGCAAACAACAGGGTGATGAATGTCACTGAACAGAAACATTAGCACAGTATGACTAGAAATAGATGTCTCTAAATACTGTGTAGAACAGCTTGCTTAACTGCAAGGAGAGGAAGAAAAGCTTTCCACATAAAGCACCAATTTATAAATAAATTTGGGGAGATTGCTACACTTTAATTCAACCTAAATTACTTAAATTACTTACCTCTTAACAATTTTTTTTAATGGTGTATTACATAGTCAACAAAAAGTATTTGAAAGTACAGATTAATGAAGTCCATTACCTCCTAAAGAATCTAATTAAGAATTCATTCCATAAACACATCAATCCACAGAATTAAATCCTAAATGTCATTTGCCTCATGAGGATGCAAATAAAGATTGAGGTCAAAGAAAACATTCTGTTTTTTCATGTTTATTATTTATAATGATTTCATTTAAACACAAACCTAAATATGAATCTTCTCCAAGATCTTTCATCTAGAAAACACACTCAACTTTTGATGAAGCCATGACTTCCTCCTCTCACCCCTATTAATCATCCAGCAACAAGTGAGAGGATGCCAGACAGCTCACTTGGAGCACAGCTGGTTTTCCTAGGACATGTGCTCCTGCCTCCAGCCACCCAGGGAAGAGCACAGGCAGAGCAAGTTTGGGTCCTGCCCAAGCCTGGCACTCCTGCACAGCAAACAGCTACACTTCTGCCATGCCACCAGCTTGATTCAGCTGGGGAGACAGACTTGTAAATTATAAATACCCCAATCCCCATTTCAATTATTTATGAACCCAGTGAACCATTTCTTACACTTCATGTTTCCACAGAAAAAGGAAAAAAAAAATATAAACAGTCCAACAAGTCTACAGAATCCAGTGACAAATTTCTAACAGATCTTCAAGAATACAGCCCATACCATCCTACACATGGACTTTTAACATGATTCAGTAAACAGAAAAGGAAATCTACTGCCCCCCCATAGAAAAAATACTTGAGTAAAAAAAATCAGTCTTTTAGGGGATGTTTGCAGTGACAGTGAATGCTTAATGAATTACCTGTCTCCTAGAGAAGAAATAAACATGAAAAATTAATTAAGTATTCTGGTGTTTATAACAATTGGAAAGAGGAAAGCTGTAGCCAAAAGAGAAAAATTAATTCACCTTACTTTCAAGATCACATTGACAGAGCATGGAAATGATGCATTAAAAATAAGTTTCTGACAGCATCTATCTACTGGAAATATAAGAACTGCCACAACATAGCAGACTCATTCAGTCTCTTCTATGAACAAATTTCAACGCTTCACGAAAGTTACCTATTATTTTAAGGTGAAGCTCTTGCTAAGCTCTTTACCTAAAAAAAACCCAAACAAATACCCTTGAAATTATAAGCTCTACCACATATTTTTTTCTCTCATTTAGGAATGAATTTAGCTAGATTGTCATATATATGACCAGCCTTGTCATAGAGGGCTGGACCAAAGGACTTCTCCCCTTGGTTAGGAGAAGCATTGGAAAGAAAACATAAACTGCACAGATGGACAAGAATTTCATGATAGAACAAAATAGTATAATAATAATAATAATCGATATTGTAATAATAATAATAACAATAGTAATGATAAGTGGGGGGCAGAGAGAATTACAAATAAGAGAGAAAATTATACAAAAGCTCACCACACAGCATATCCCCAAACAGCACTCAGACCCCTGCCAGGTAACTTCTCCAGTTTACATACTGTGCATGACCTTCTCCGGTGTGAAACATCCCTTGGCCAGTTTGTGTCAGCTTACCTGGCCTCACTCTCTCCCAGCATTGAGTGCAGCTCCTCAGCAGCAGTGTAAGACACTGAAAATAGTGTTTACTTAGCATAAACACTACTTAGCAATAGCCAAAGTATTATTCTTGCCATAAATCCAAAAAACAGTTCTGTACAGCTACTAGGGAGAAAATCAGCCATGTCACAGCCAAAATCAAAGCATGAGAGTTATCCCAGATAAGCCAGGTTAACCCAAATGTAGTAAATTCTTTGGCACTTTTTTATCTCACAATTTCTTCAGCAAACACATTTGGCTTTGTAGAGCTAGACCCACAGAGACACTTGAAGTACAGACACATTCTGAAGTTCCCAGTAGAATCCTGGAACCTGCTTTTCTTTTCCTGTATGCTAGCTGTGGTTCTCTCACACTTCACCCTTCCAAGCACAGTGGGTTCTCCATAAGTAACAATCCCTCTAAATAGAATTATAGAATTTTTTGGGTTGGAAGGGACCTTTAAAGATCACTTAGTTCCAGCTCCCCTGCCATGGCAGGGATACCTTTCACAAGACCAG